TCTAGCGGCTTCTTTTAATGTTTTGTTCTTTCTTTTGACTACCATGTTCTACTGAGTGATCCTAGGTGCTGAGAAATTATGATCTATTTTATATTCTTTACAAAAAATCTTTAAATTTTTTATTTTCAAATTCTTTTCTATGATCACTTTAAATTGATAAAATCTCACATCCTAGTTTGTTCTAAATCCAAGTAAATAAACTTCTAAACTCATCAAATAATTTGCTCTTATGAAACAAGAATTTAACCCAAGTGAATCTTATAAATCCAAAAACTTTTCCTCCTAGACTTACAGTGCTTAGTGGTTCAAAAAGATCCATGTGAATGATTTACCATGATTTGCTAATTATAAGATCCTTAATATAATGAAAGGAGGACTTCACTTATTTTATTAATTGACATGCATCACACAAGTGATCCTTAATTAAGTCTAATTTAGGTATATCTCTAATCAATTCTTTTTGGGTGATCTTTCTAAAACTTTTTATGCTTGCAAGACAAAGTCTCCTATATCATAACCATGATTCATCAGAAATTATTTTGAGATAAAAAATATAAGAAAATTTAACAAAATTCAAATCAAACATGTGCATATTATTAACCCTATTTCCATGCAATACATCAATTCTATTTTGGCTTATGATGTAGCTTGTGGGAAAAGAATTATATTATAACTTTTATCACATAGCTGACTAATACTTAACAACTTATGTTTTAAGCCTTCTACCAATAAAACATTTTCAATAAAAAAATTTTCTTATTACCAATCATAATTGTACCTGCCACTTTTATTATGATATTATCTCCCAATGTAACCTTGCCTCCATTCCTCGCTTCTAGTGATATGAATTGTGGTGTGTCTCCATTCATATGCTTTAAACATCCCTTGTCCAGGTACCAAATGATCTCACGAGGTCTTGTATGAGAATGATTCTACAAAATGGTCAAATGTTAGACTTGGGAACTTGAATAAGTTTTGGGTGGCAATAATAATCTAGATACACGTATGATATGCTATAATTTATGCATCTTAGGTCTCCAAACTAGATGTGTTCTACTATGAATCATGTAAGTTTGAAAGATAGTTTTATTATCTTTTTCTAGGTTTTGAAATTTTAAGCTTTTGATCAGGATTAAAAAATTCTTCAGGTGTAGGGGATGTACTATTTTTCTTAAGAACATTCAATTCCACTTTAAATAATTAGTTAGCACTTTCTAAAATAGCATTATTAACTTTCAAATAGTGCTCCCTACAATCAGATTCATCTATAAATGTTTTAAAATCATTTTCAAGTTTAGTATGTGATGATTTCAATAGTTCATACTTTTTGTTTAAATCATCAAATTCATCCGCTAATTTCATATGGTTTCTATCAATCAATGCATGATCATTCCTAAAGATTTCAGGCTCTTTTAATAAATTTAAAAATCCTAGGTTTAACTTAGCATGCAAATTTTCTAATTTCCTATATGCAATATGAATTTTCTCATAAACTTCAAATAATTCATCATAGGTTAAGTCACATACCTCCTCTTGATCTGATTGATCAAGCTTGTTGTCCATTAAACATAAGTTTATGAATTTCTTCTGTGCTTTTATTTTTAAGAAATCTAAAGTTGAGACCGCCCATAATGCTCTCTACAATCTCTTCTTGACCTTCCTAACATTATTTTTCTCCTCAATAATCTCTTTGCTAGGATCAACTTTGAGATTCGGGCATTTGGATTTGATATGTTAAAGCTTCCTTCATGTATAGCAAATTATATCATTTGAAGCTTTAGCATTTTTATGGAATTTACCCTTATTCCACTGCTAACATCTCATTTACTTCCTTTTAAGAAAACTTTTTAATTTCCATATCATTAAGGCAATATCATCTTCATCCTCAGGCTGAGACTGATTACTCTCTAAGTCATCCACTTTCAACACAATATTTTTATCCTTCTGCTTGTCATCTATATCAATTTGTCTCTGAGTCACTCCATGTTAGCAATTAGTGATCCAACAAGATTGACAATAGAATAAAAATTTATATCTTTTAACTGAGTTATTGATGTTATCTTTGCATTATAAGCAGTAAGTAAACAATAAAAAAAAAATTATTTACTTTTTCAAAATTCATTTTTCCCTTTCTAAAGCATACAATGAAGTAAATATATGTGTAAAATGAGTGTACATATCAGTGATTGATTCATTTGGATTCATGGAAAATAGTTCATAATCGTGTAGTATAATGTTTAATTTAGATTATTTCACCTTATTAGTTCCTTCATACATAATATAATGCCTATTCCAAAATTCTTTTCCAGTTTTACAGGTTAAGACACAGATATAGTCTTTAGATTTTAGTGTACCAACAAAATTATTTAAACATTTAGCATTTAACTGAGCTAAGTATTTTTCTTCTACTGTCCAGTTAGTAAATGGTGTTTCAATTATATTGCCATATACAAGTCTAGTTAGTCTAGTGTATCCTTCATGTACTAAAATATACATGTGATAATCAAGCGATTGAAGAAAAAAAGATATACGTATTTTCAAAAAATTGAAAGGGATGTTATCAAATAGTGGTGGTCTAGTGATCGAATATCCATTGGGTGTGTTATGGTTTCCAAAAGTAGCCATGAACAATTTTAAAAAGTTGTCTAAACCTTAATTTTTTAAAAGTAGGTTCTAATACAAATTGAAAGATCGAATAGGTTATTAGACCTAAAGCAATTGTCTCAAAGCAAACCAAGAGGGGGGTGAATTGGTATTTAAAAAAACTCTTGGTAAATTAAAAAGATAATTTTAAAATTTTTAATCATAATGACAAAATTTTCAAAAATATTTTTGAACCACAAAATTTAAAACTTGTAGAAAATAAAATTGTAGTAAAAAAGTAAAAATAGGAGAATATAAAATTTTATAGTGGTTCAGTCCAACTAAACCTACGGCTAGTCCCTGAAGACCCCCTCTTCAGGTTTACCTAAGTGACTCTTCTTTTGCTCCCTTAGCAAGGTGGATAAGCCCTAACAATAACCTCAAATCCACCAAACCCTAGTGTGACAGAGAACCATCATCCTTTCTCACCCTCTTAGTGAAGGTATAAAACTGGCATCCTTTTGCACCCTCATGTTGATGGAAGAGTATTGTGTCTCCTTTGAAAATCTTCTTTCAAGGGCTTTAAGAAAGTTGGGAAGAACTTTAAAGAACAAGCAATAGATTCTCATTGTTGGGCAACCTTGTAAATCCCCTCACAAATTCCTCTTATGAAATCTCTCACTCTCCAATTCTAAGCACTCTCCCAAACACTCTGCAAGTGCACTCTTAAAAGAAATTTATAGTAGGAGAGTTTAGAAAGTCAGTTTTTAGGACCTTATATAAAAAGGACAAAAAACCTTCCAAAAATAGAAAATTTTAATTTGACCATATTATATTGTATAATACGATCATACTTCATATGTTTAAGCTTTTGAAAAATCTTGGTATGAACCTGGATGAACTTGTTTTTGTACTATGTCAGTCATATGTACAAACTGATATTGTACTATACGAACAGTTCAAAAATGAACAACTTCGTCAGGTAAGATTCTATACGAATGCATTTTATACTCTATTCAGCATACTGTACGAACTTCATTTTATACAATATGATTAGTTTAACCAAATCATGCTTCATTTGGTATGAAAATAAATGAGTCCAATTCGTACTCTAGAAGTTATCTATATAAAAATAATTCTGTATAGTTTGAAAATTTCAAAAAATTTACCTGTTCATATGGATAAACTGGTTAGCACCCATTTCATACTCTACGAATTGTCTGTATGAAAATAATTTTATACAGTATGATCAGTTCAAAAAATGGAGATTTTAGTTGGGATGAACTGGTACATATCCATTTTGTACTCTTGACATCATCTATATGAACCAATGTTCATACAGTACAAAAAGTTTAAGAAAAATTTCTAAGGCATGATTCGATTAACTCTTTCTAGAGGAACATACAGGTCAAATCGTCCAGTACAATTAGTTTTAAAAATATAAATTTTGACTCACTACCTAAGTGTATGTGTGTATACGGTTAACCAATTTCAATCACACTCTCTCAAACTCAAGAAAAATAGAAAAATTATAGGCTTCAATTACAACAAATCTTAATCTAATATATCTTGAAGTCTTCAGCTATCTGGGGTATGATTTTCTTAAAATATTAATACACATAAACAACACAAATAGACTTTTCCAATATGTATTAGAAGAAAACAATAATCAACAGAATAATATTTTGATTTCATCAAAAACTCACATGATATAAAAGCATAGATTTGAAAACTAAGTCGCAACAAGAAAAAGCTTCCAAGTTCACTACCTTCACCATGAGGGTGAAAAAAATTTCCAAGGTTCTCTGCCTTACCTCGAAGATGAAAAGGATTAAATTTTTTTGCCTCATCGGGTTAGTGGAAGCAATTCTTATAATAGCTTCTTTGCCTTGCTGTGGGGTTTAAAGAAGAGATGTTAAGATTTAGTGAATTATAAGAGTAGAGGACTCCAGGGAGTGGATGTAGGTCATTATTTCATCAAATCACTATAAAATTCTGGTGTATTCATTCTTATTTCATTTATGTATTTTATTTTTTATACTTTGCTTTTATGCAATTTATTTTCTTTAAAATTGCATGTTAAAAAAGTTATGGTTGATATTAGATTAATTTTATTTAATTATCATCACCATCATTATAATTACTGTTAAGTTTATGAGCTTATACATTGGGTAATCAAATTATTTAGTTTAAGTTATTGAAAATTTCAAAAAGAATTTTCTTTGTGATAAGGAAAATTTAAATAACCAATTCACCCTTCACTTGGTGTGCATAATGATAGTTCAACGAGGCTTAACACCCTCCATTGAACTTTCAACTACAAGATTTATTATATGGGCCTAAATTTTATTATATTATGCTTTTATATATTTTTAGCCTCGCCTATCATATGCATATGTAAGAGGTTTTTTTTTTTTTCAAGGGTTAGCCGAGCAAACCAACCCTATAAGATCCATAAATTATGTCGGCCATATGTCTTGATAACCATACAGCGCCCATCAATTAAAAGATGTGCGTGGCATACATAGCCAACCGACCCTTTTTTATATGCATATGTAAGAGGTTATTTTTTGCTTCATCTGCTTTATGCAAGTGTGTGAGTTCCAAGGGAGTTATAAGTGTAAGTGGAGTTATAAGAGTAATTTAGCTAGGTCTCCATCTTTTGTCATAAGTAGGTGGGTTAGTCCTGGAAGGCATAAGTGGAAGTGGAGTTATAACCAAACATCAAGACATGTGACATCATCATTCAAATGTTTCATATTATATTAAATGAAGTAAGTTTAATGATGATTCAAATGCTGCATTATCTATTAAATGAAGTAAGTTCTTGTAGAAATGGCATTCTTTTCATAAGTATGCTCTAATACATTTATGAAATACAAATACTTTTGTAAATAAGTACAGTTTGACACCCATTTGTAGTACAGATGGAGGAATATGTTAATATTTATTATATTCAAGTTTAAGTAATAAATTCTTTCAAATTATTTATGATGCATATTTAAGTGTAAATCATACCTATGTTGTTATTTTTATAATATAAACCAGAAAGTAAGGAAATTCCTTTATTTATATTTTTTTTTGTATAAAGTCACTTTCTATTATTTTATAAATGTCCTTTAAACTTTTTATTTGTATACTATAAATATGGGCATTGACTTATATAATAGGACATGGGTAAGCCTACTGAGTATATGAATGTTCGCTCTATGTTTTATAAAATTTTAAGAAAGGGGAAATGTCTAATTTAGTAGAGGTCAATATGGTTAGAATCATCATAAGCTAGCTCAACAGAGTTATTTTGTTAGTCAAATTTATATTTTAGTGTGTAGGAAAATTTTTTCCTTGATTAATTACAGATAAATTTTTTGAAAAAAAAAATTGGATGATTTTCATATAATTGAATCCAGATTTATTTGTTGGATGATGCTTGATTGTACTTTATGAGTCTACCTATGAGTTGAGAGCCTATAGGTGAGGATGATGAAGAAACAAAAAAAAAGGGGAGATAGAGTAAGAGAGTAGAAGATGGATTTAGATAGAATCTTTATTATCCTAGCATTAAATACAAGAATAATAAGATCTGGGCCTCTATCTTATAGAGCTCAAGCTAGAAAAGGGAAAATTTGCTCAATATCTCTCAATGCAACTCTCTTTTTTTGTGTTAGTTGTATCACATATATCATTTTTCTTTCTTTTGTCCCACTATTTTCTTGTGCTCCCTCTCCATATTTATAGTTCTTGGAGAGTTATAGCATAATGCGTATGGAATATAGGAGTTGTAGTATCAACTTTTATAGATCAATCAGTCGTGCCATATGGTGTAGAAATCTTGTGAGACAGGATGCTGGTAAGGCAAACCCATCAGAATCTTGAGATCGAGTCAGCATTGGGTAGGAAGTTGGTCTAATGTTACCTCCTTAGAGAAAGATGCCTTTAGCTTGACCTTTAATAGGTTTCACATAAAAGACTTGACTTTGGACAAGATGAATATATACTTTTTCATTTGAGAGAAACTTTTTTTGTTACCCCCATCAGGGAGAGTGATTTCTTGGAGATGTTGGCCGAAGGTGGTCTGTCATGCATCAGTATTAAGCTACTTCTAAGCTCCTGAACTAGTCCTTCAAATGGTCTGTCTTATAAGAAGAGATAAATCTCCATCCTTGTAACCCACATATAACTTATAGGATACATATGAGAGGGTACTTTCACAAGAAATCATGGGTGTACATTTTATTCTATCATTGATTTAACCCTTTGATCATAGGAAGTAAATAATTTTAGACAGATGAATCATAAACTAGAGTAAATATCATGAGTAAATGAATTTATTGCACTTAATCTTCCATAGACTTAAGGTTCAAGCATCTTCAAAGATCAAGTAGTCTTGTCACTGAGTTTCTCTATAAATATTAGCTTTGAGTCACATATATACTTTTAATTTCCAACTTGTAATCCTTGTGAAAATTTGTCAAGATGGATTTTTCCACTCTTCTTAGCATTTGAGCTTCCAAGAAAGCTGAATTCAAGTGAGTGCGATTTTCTTTGGTATGGAGACCAAAAATGTGGAAGAGACCAAGCCGAGTTTGGTTGTTGTTGGAGAGGATACATGAGTATTAGTAAACTTTTTCGGGTTTAATACATTTCAAAGAAATTTAAATTGTCTGCTTCTTTCTTAAGCAAGAAACAAATGCACACTTGCAACTGACTTTGCATTGGATAACACAACATGTACTATTCAAACAGCCGATGTAGTCCTTGCAAGTTATCTCTAGAGATTTTTCTCTTTTAATCCTTGAAGAAGTTTGCATAATTTTATCATACTCATTTAACACAAAAGAATCATACCTTTTTTAGTTGCAATACATTATAATTTTGGCATTTTCTTTAGCACACTCTATACAACTTTTAGTAGAAAGTTTGTACTTCTCATGAAAATGTTTATGGTATCTCATTTAAAGGAAATGAAGCCCCACAAAATGTCTATCATCCTCTTCAAATCTATCATACATCTATTTCCATCTAGCACCTATAAGATACTCTCCAACATTGTCTTTATGTGTGACCATTACATTTGAATGTATCCTCTAAATCAATTCATCTTTACCTATGTTCCAACTATGGGAACATTAATAAAAGAACTCATTTTCCTTTTCTTTCATATTTAGCATAATATTAAGGAAAAGTGGAACATATTTGATCAAGCGTATACTTCTTGATGCGATTACTACCGCATGAATAACTGTCGAACTGTTTAGAACTGAACACTATAAATTTGGTGTCATTTCTTTTAATGTTTTTATTTTTCCGCATTTATTTTTTGGTTTAAAAATATATGTGGTTGAAAAACGTTTTTCTATTAAAAACTTAAATAAAATTTATTTCGGTTCAACACATTTTTAAAGAGGTTTAAATTTTTAAAATACCAATTCAACCCCCCCCCCTTTTTGGTAGCCTTGGGACATTAACTTAGGTCTAACAACCTATTTTTTAGACTCAACATTTACAACAATTTCATCATTAAAATTATTACATTAGAATATTTATACTTTAAAATCGAATGAGCCAAAAATTAAATTCAGTAAAAGACAAATTTATGTGAGTAATAAATAATAATTTAGATATTCCATGTAATTAAATAAAAATAGTATTAAACTTTAATAATATAATATTTTTTAAATTTGTATTTTTGTGCATTTAATGCATGTACAATAAAATTAGATTGAGAATTAGAATCCAACCCAATCATATGATTATGAATTTATATAATTCTAAGGAATTTTTTACATTTTATCACAATTATAGTCCAACACGATCAATATATTTGATTTTATTTTTAAAAATTCTAAACTTTAACGCGCATTTAAAGCATCTAGTAATAGTTATTGAAGGTATGTTGATTATTAAGAAAAGAATAGTATGATAGTAATTAATTAACGAGAAGCGAGCAAAGAAGGGAAAATTAGTGTTCTTAATCAAGTCTTCAATAAAGTAGATTGTTCTACACATACAAAACCAAACACCAGCCCATATATATATTTCACATTGGATTAACCAGCTAGCATATTAATTTTTTTGGTACTTGTGAAGCCCACAACTAAGAATGTGAACTCAAAGCCCTGTCATATCAATCGTAGTGATGCTGCAAAGATAATATTTGAAGTGATTGATCAAACTTTTCAATGGAGATAGTAATAAACCACTATTTTAATGAAAACGGAACTTGATTATACTCATTAAATTCCACTTAGTTATGTTTCTCCATTAAGTAATGTCCTTAATATGATATAGATTTTCTTTTTAAGCTTCGTATAGTTGTTGTTTTCCTACAATAAAAAAAGTGCTTGTGTCCCTCAACCTCAACCCTAACCCCACACCCCCCCCCCAAACAAATTCTAATTCTAACTTGGGAGATTAGAACATTACTGTCAATAAATATGCTCTCTTAGGATTCTAGCTAGCGTATTATTTTTTCTGGTACTATGTGAAGCCCACAAATAAGACTACCAGCCCAAAGCCTTATCATATCAATCATGATTGATGAGTGCAAAGATAATCTTTGAAGTGATTGATCAAAACTTTTTCAATGATAATAATACCACTATTTTAATGAATACATAACTTTATTTATACTCATATCATTCACATTAGTTTTTTTCTCCATAAAGTAATGCCTTTATGATAAAGATTTTTCTTTTTTAAGCTTTGCATAGTGTGTCGCTTCCTACACAACAGATAAGTTCTTCAGAACAACAACACGTCCCTCCCGCCCCCCCCACCCAACAACACAAATAAGACTACAGGGCCAAAGCCTTATCATATCAATCGTATTGATGTTGCAAAGATAATCCTTTTGAAAGTGGATTGTCAAACTTTTCAATGGAGATAATAAACCACTAGTTTAATGAATACATAACTTTATTATACTCAATAATCATTCTCAGTTATTATTTCTCCATAAAGTAATGACCTTTTTGATATAGATTTTTTAATTTAAGCTTTGTGTAGTTGTTGCTATTTAACACAACAAAGTTTTCTTCAGAACAACAATCACCCCCCCCCCCCCCACCAACACAATTCTTATAATACCTTCTAATTTGGAGATTGGAATTTTTTTCACACCAAACCATGTGAGATATTATCTTGAAAGAGCTAAA